CACACACACACACACATACACACGTGAAGCTGTTCTGTAAGTTATCACAAGAGGTTGCAATCTGAGTGATGGAGCAGTATGCAGAGATAGTAATTGTGCCACGAGAATTGTATTTCTGTCTTCTTCCAAAAATCAACTCATTACAAATAGCAGAACGTTGAGGCCTACACCCAACAAGAAATCCCCAAGGAGTAAATTCTAATGGGGTCTTTTAGTGCTTAAGCTAGTGAAGCCATCATCTGTGGATGTTATTGGTAGCCCACAGATATAGACTGCCTAGATTTATTAAGCATGTTATTGCCTTGTGGAAACCCTCTGCTGATTTGGGTTTGCGTCTTTATTGATACATTCACAGTTTGATTTTAGGTTCTCATGAATGGCTGCTAGAGCTCTGGGAGTGGGGCTTTGGGAGGAAAAGGAGTAAAACATCACATGACTCCAAAATCAGAGTTCTGGAGCTTTTTAGGGACATGGTCCCCTTGGGCAGTATGGTGGTAAAGCTTATGGACCTTTTCTTAGAATCAGGCTTTAAATGAATAAAATAAAATACATGGGATTACAAAAGAAATTATATTGAAATACAGTTATATTTTTTAATATACAAAAGTTCATAAGCTCCAGGTTAAGAATCCCTGCTTTAGAGTATCTCAAGCAATTTGCAAAGAGTGGAGGGCTTCTGACAGACAGGCAGCAGGTCATAGTGAAGAGAGAGCACTGAGTCATAGGACCTTGGGACCTGGGCAGGGATCTAGCAGAGTCCTCTAACTTTTCAGATGAGGAAACTGAGTCACAGTGAGATGAAGTGATTTGTTCAAATCCCACAGGTAATAAATGGCTTTGCTGAGTCTAAGCCTCAGTCCTACAGCTTTGGATTTCACTCTCTCCCCACTATACCATGTTAAAACTCAGTTGCTTACTAGGACACAGGCAGGTCACAGAATCTCTCTGGGCCTCAGTTTCCTCCCATATCAGATGAAAAAAAAATCATACTTGTCCTACCTTTCTCACAAGACTGTATTAAGAAGAGTGCCTTCTAAACATTAAAGGGCTATAGAAATGTGGGCTGTCTCCAATTCATGCCATCTATACTCTGGCCTTCTACCAGAGCCTAAATTTCCACCCTTGGAGTCCTGAGCTCTGAGATGTGAGACAGTGCCTGCCCTCAAGGATCGTACAATCTAATGGGAGGAAGGAGGAAGGCAAGGGGGGATGGGGGGACTTCAGGGGTACCTGACTTATTCCATGAAGTTGAAACAAGGCGGGGCATTAGATTCAGAGTAGAAGGAATTGGAGTCTGGTTGCTGCCTTCTATAAAGCAAGGCATTGGAGGAGTCCAACCATCATCCCTCCAATCAGAGGGGAAAGGAGGCTAAGGGACGTGGTGTCAGTCAAGGCTTGAGTTAGCAGCATGGTGGTGAGATCAGAGGTGATAAACTTATCCTGGGAGAGACATCTTGCTCTGGAACTGGAACCAGGCAGATCAGCAGATGCCAAACCACCACAGGGCTGCCCCCCATTTCTAAAACCCTGCTCCCTGATACAGCATTCACCTCTACAGGGGGTGATCCTGTCCCACAGTGGCTCCTATTTGCATGGTCCACAGGAGGGGGACATAAGAGTTGGCAGAAGTGAAGCCAGGTCTATAAAACTGTCCCTCCTTCCTAGACCTGACTCCCCAACCTCCCTTTTCATTATCAATAGATTCCCCTCTTCTTTCACAGATACCCCCCTTCCACATGAGGCTGTTCTCTATGCCATTTCCACTCCAGTAGATGCCATTGGGAGCAGGAACTGCTGGGTTTTGTCCTTCTTTTCCCAATGCCTGGCATAGTACCCTGTATGTAGTAAGTGCTGAATTCATGTTGAATTTTCAAGTTAAATCAGAGGTAAGGGCAACAGTGAAAACTTGGTTGGTAGTGTCCCAAACCAGATACAGCTATCTTACCAAATGCATGAGATATTTCTAAGATGGGAGGAACATAGATGTAAACCTGCAAAGAACTTCAGGTGCTAGCTAGTTCAACCTCTGCATTTTACAGATGAAGAAACTGAGGCCCAGACAGGGTCACATGACTCACAAGGGTCAAAGGAAAAATTTGAACCTGATTTTGAGGCCAATTCTCTATCCATTGTACCACTCTTCCTCTCAGGTTACCATGTCTGTTCTATTCCAACCATCTTATTTAATAGGTTAGGAAAACGAGGCCCAAGAGAGGAAGTGATTTACCCGAGGTCACACCCATAGGACATATCAAATCTGAGATTCCAACAGCTTCTCCCACTCAAAATCCAGGGCTTTTTCAAGTATTCCGGATTCTAATGAATCCAATGTCTTTTGCCTCCTGGGCTAGTGCTTTAATAATATTCCCGGATAGCTGTTATACTTGCCAGGAGGTCATCAGCTGTGGCTGTGGTATGTTTTAGCCAGCGTGGTTTGGAGTTAGACTGAAAACTCAATACAAATTCCAGTTCTCAGCCAAATTTCTTCCTAGCCAGCTATGAGGGCTATAGAAATGGCAGAGATGGAACTAGGGCAGGGCCACATATGCTGGCACGGTGTGACAGCAGTGGAGAAATGGAGGGGAAGCTCTGTCCCTCACAGATGAGAGTGAGACAGTCTTATTTGAATATCTCTGAAGCCTATGGACCTGGCACATGTGATTTTCAAACATTAGTTTAAAACACAAGGATACAATAACAGGTTTAAAAAGATATTCCAGCTGTGGAACATGGAAATCATGCGAAAATATGTTTACCTTGCTTCTCCACTCCCTATTGATTCCCTTGTCCTCCCTCTGGGAGGGCTCTCTTTGCTTGTGGAATAATTCTAATTGGCAAAGATAGGGATGCTATTAAAATAACTTTATGAGATGCCCTTTTGTTCTGTTCTCCACATTTCTGCCTTTCCTATTTGGCCCAATTCCAAATTGTGTCTGGAGAGACTCTCAGAGGGCAATGAGATAGCACGTGTTGTCTGCAGAGTTAAAATGTAAGCTCCTTGAAGGTAGGGATTATTTCAGTTTTGCCACTGTGTCCCCAGTATCTAACAATACACCTGATGGATAGAGATAAGGATAAGTATTGACCCTCTGATGTCACTGATGTAAGTGACTCCCAGATGAAGAAACTCTCTCTACTGGTGCATATAGGTACCTTCTCTTCAGTGTGGAGGTTTAGTGCCCAGAGCACTAAGAGCTGAAGTGACCTGCCCAGCATCCCCAGCCAATACATTTCAAAGTCAGCACTTCAACTCAGGTCTTCTTGGCTTTCAGTCCAGCTGTCTATCCGCTGCCTTGAACTGTATCGTCATAAATGCTTGGCGATTTATTGATTGAATGGTGCATTCAAAGCTCAGCTCTGGTACCCCCTTCTATAGGAAGCCCTTTATGACCCCCAGAGCTGTGAGTGTTTCTTCCCTCCTGAGTCCTTATCTCATCACCTATCTCTTTACATTGTGGTTCCCAAACAGAATGTCAGTTTTTGGAGGTCAGGGGCTGGTTTTTTCCTTCTTCTTGACTTTGCATTCCCAGCACCTGGCATAGTGTCCCACACTTAGGAGGTGCTTAATCAATACTTATTAAATGGAGTTATTAAAACTATGAAAGGCAGCACGTAAGTGCAGTGTTTGCTGGATTAGATGTTTTCCTTAATGATGGTTTGCTGGTGGTTATTTAGCAAGTATCTGAAGGAAAGTAAGACTGTGGCTTCTTGTCACCAAGCATCTGCTTGTAAACTTCCAAATTCAGGTGGTCATGGTTACTGTAGCCTGAGTACCTCTGTTTTTGACTGAAATTCCCCATTTCCATTCAGATGTTTCATGGTATGTAGACCTGGCCTTGAGTTCTTTCCTCCCCAGTCACCCCACCTCATCTGGTTTGGTTTATTTGTTGTTGTTGTTGTTTTTTCTAACTTAGACAATGCCTCGTTGGGACATCTGATGCCAGATTATTTTGTTTACAAATCATGTGAAATTCCTCAGAGAAAAATGCTGTGGAGATTAACATTTACCATATGTCCTGCATCTCTCCGGCAAGCCCCAGGCTAGGTGGAGTTCTCTCAGAGAATAGGGAATATTGAGATTGCACTCAGATTGGATCCCTTGGACACACCAGTGGCTGCTATGACATTGCACAATTCTGCAGCTCTGTGTGGGGAACCCCCTGAAGAGCCCCAAAATAAAGGGGGGGATGAATGGTAGGCAGTGCTCACTCTGCATAATCTCTCTATTCCTGTCACATGGAGAGTGATGAGAAGGGAAAGAGGAAAACACTAAAATGACAGAACTCTGTTTAAGATCAGCTGATGTCCAGCATCACCTGTAAAATGTGAAATATTCTGCTCTCAAATGGGGAAGATCTCATTTATTTGATTCTTTCTGAATTGGCTCGACTTGTTTTTGTTTGGTGGTGGTGGTTGT